AGTGAGACTCCGTTTCAAAATAAAAATAAAAATAAAAAAAGAATGCTTCAATACCAGTTGCCTCATTAATGATAGGAAACATAGGAAATTGGAAAATGTCCTTACTACCCAGCTTTCACACTTTTTATTCTGTTTTTTATTTGAGTTAGTTTTTTTTTTTTTTTTAACTTTTTTGGCAGCAGGAACCTTGTCTTATGAGTGCACAGTAGGATCTCAATGTCTGTAGAAGAAATAAAAGCAAGGTAGCTGAAACCGTTAGTGTTATTCTGCCCAGTATATTATACAAGGTATTATTATAGCAACTGCAAACATGAAAGCAAATTTCAAGCACAAGTATTTAGTCCTAATAGTGGCTTCCAGAATATGTTATAGAATCAATGCTGAGTCAGTCACACTTGTCCACTTTTGATGCTGTGGTTCTTTAGACTCTTCCAATGTTTTCTGCACTATCCAGAAGAGATTTTAACTGGCTTTTCTGAAAATCAGTGGTCCCTACGTGATTGAGGAGTCTGTCAACCCAGCAGCTACTTGCAGAGACTAGTCACACATAGAGCGTGGACACTCTGGGCTTGATCTTCCTCCTTCTCTCCTTGTAATGGCTGTCCTGAGTATTTGGAGTGACTAAAGGACGGAATAATCAACACGAGTAGTAGTCAGGGTCAGTAAGGAGACAGAAACCATGCCAGTTACTATAATGGAAATAATTTAATATGAAGATTTATTAACTGAAAAATTGAAAAGGGAACACAAGTGTCATAGGGGTAGTAAGCACGGGAAGCAGCTTCCGCCTCTATGGCTGGGGATCACAGGAAAGAATTATTTACACTTAGAAGGATTAACACTGAAATTATTAACACTCAGAGCTGGGACCCAGGCCTCTCAGGAGGGTGAAATCCCAAGCTAGTAGGTGCTGGCGTTTTTGAAAAGGAATCATGAAGCTGGTTCTGAGAGTGCTGGGAAAACTAGAATCAGCTACTGCTACTGAAACCAACTGAGCTGCTGGAGTGAAGAGACGTTGTCAAGGTGACCTTGAGAGGAAAAGGAAGGAGCAGTCCCTTTTCCAGTCTCCAGGCTTGGGGTCTCCCTCTACTGTCCCCTCCTGGCAGAGTCCCACAAGGAGCCGGCTGGCAAAGAAAAACGAGGCTTGTAGGTGTTGCCCCAGCATTATGATCACAGTATATGAGAGTGAAGCTGAGAGACAATGGTTTAACAAGCAGCACAGTAATGCTCTGCTTTTCAGAATTCTTAAGGATTACAGAGTGCATACAAACAAAATAAAACCGTAAAGTGCATTGTTTTCATCTGCTGTTATGGTAATAACGTTGATAATTTACATATGAATAGCACTTCACAGGGTCTGCAAAGTGCTTTTGCATATATTATCTTTTAGAATTCAGCTGTCAACCTGACCCCAAACTAATCAAAATACACAGAATAGGAAAAACAAGTCAAAAAACACTTAAATACACAGGTTAGTAATACTGAACTGAGTTTACTCCTTTTTCACCCCATGCCACCCATTCATGCAACTCCCTTCTTTCTGTTTCCCTGTCCTACACATCACTCATGCTCTGTTCGTGAAATCCTTCCTCTACTCCATTTCCCTTTTTGGTCTTACCCCTCCTGAGTCCACCAGACCTATGCCTAGCTCAGCAGCATCTCCTCCAGCAGGAATTTTGGGACAGTTCCCCACATTGTCTGATGCTTCTTGGACTAGGGTGCTTCTCAATCTGGAGCAGTTTTATCCTTCAGGGACAGTTAACAATATCTGGAGACATTTTTTATTGTTATGACTTAAGGGAGTACTACTGGTGTCTAACGAACAGAGGCCAGGGATGCTACTAAACATCCTAAAATGCATAGGATGGTCCCCCCACCCCCCTGTCAAAATTATGTGATCCAAAATGTCAATAATGCCGAGGTTGACAAACTCTGTGCTAGGCTAGTGGCCCTTGGTCTGTGGTCTCAAGGCACCCAACTGCATGCTTCTAGCTTTATACATATGCTTGTACAACATTGCATTGGAATTACATGTTTATATTTATGTCATCTCCTTACTAAACTGTAAGCTCCCAGAGAACCAGAGAACAAGGACAAACGTAGTGAATGGCACCTAATAAATGCTCAGTA